TTGTAATGGGGCTGAGTGCAAAGTTATGTTCATTTAGGCTCAGTAACTTTTTCCTCATGAGATGTGGTATTCCCAAAGCATTCTCTTCTTTTCCTTTATCAATTTTTTTTCTAGTGCTTCTAAGTCATCTTTTTATTCACCTCCATGGATTGCTTGGAAACCCGATTTTATTCCACATTTTGTTTTATTGAAGGGTTTTCGTTGTTCTGCAACACCATAGGTTAAGGGGGACTTTTTTTGCACTTCTTGACTTCTCCTTTTCCTTTTCACCACACCCCCAACTTAGGATTTTGGCCTAAGTTGGCTATTCACTAAACCACAAATCAAGAGGATTACAGGTAGTGGGTCAAATAAGGTCTAGGGTTCATCAAGGCTCTTCCAAAGAAAGGTAAGGCTCCAAGAGTGTTCAAGAGAGTTTCACACACTCACGGACAGGCCACGAAAGAGGTATATGTCAAATCTGGCTCACACTCTTTAAAGTTGACTAAGATCATTTCAAGAGCACATCTTTCTAAATCAATCTGACTAACAGGGCAAATTTTTGGGTTTATTCATGCATGGTTCAAAGTAAGTTGATCACACAAGGCATCGACACTTAAGTCAAACAAGACTACACACGTTTGCTAGTGTGCAACGGTCATTACAAGAGAATCAATTCGATAAATGGCTAATCACAATGAGATGCAAATAGTTCACATATTCTCTATGCAACTTCATTTGGCCTCATCGTAGCCGTACATTCATGTTCATTCAATTATGAGCACTATTCAAGTCATGGGTATTGATCAAAATCGATACTCGAATTTGCAAAAGAACAACCACATTCAACACATACAAGAGGTGGCAAAAAAATTTTGAAGGGTCAAAAATCATTTTCAATTAAAAGCAAGGAGCCATAAGCTCAAACCTTCCACAAAAAGCAGTGTATAACACAATTTAAGCTAGAAACCCAATATATAAATAAAACAAGAGTCATAATCAGCACACAAAATGTGGGCCTCACCCCACCACAAACAAAAACCATTTGTCGTCAAATGCAAATGAAGTAAAGTATCCAAAAGTGAAAGAAAGTAAGACAAAGAGGGAGGTAAAAAAAGGATCACGTCTATGCAGTCTCTCCATTTGTCTGGGCCGCATGCCCGGTGCAGCAGTTTGTACTTGGTCATTAGTGCTCGGGGTCACCTAAGGAGGAACAGTAGTACCAGATCCACCAGGAGTTGCCACAGGTGTATCCGCCAAAAAGTTTTGCACAGCTACATAGAATCCTTGGACCCATGAAGGGATATAGGAGCCTCGGGGAGTAGTCTCCTTGTCAGAAATGGGCCTCTTGCCCTTGCCTTTATTTCCAGGTGGAGGTTCTTGTATTCTCTTCTTGGGAGAATTTGACCCCATTTCATTTATTGTGATATCCCATGTTCTTTTCCCGGGTGGCATGAGAATATTGGTCTTTACCATATCTCAGGATACTCAGACTTCTCCCTGCTAGACTCAACAACATGCAAGCACAACCCCACAAGATTTAACTTATTTTAAGGCATAAAAATACAGGATTTTAACAATATAAACACTATGGGCAAGATTTTCACAAGCATAAGCAAAAACAATTAAGAGTACACATCACTAAGATAAGATCATTGCAAATGAGTACAAAATTGCTAAAATTAAATTTGGGGTTCAGAAAACCAACCTTAGATGCCGATTAAAATATTTTTGAAATGCTAGGCGGCAATGTAATCTAAATCTGAGCACAAATCAATGACTACAATACTCTAAAAGTGCAAAAATATATAAACTAGAGTGTGGGTGTAAGTTTGGGAAGATAAATAGTGAGGGAAAGTGAAAAAGTTTGAAACTTTTGAACATTTGGCCTTAAAACCGTCCAGTTCTCGCCCAGTTGGCGACGCTAATCGTTCTCGCTGACACACTCGGCGATCCGCCGAGTGGTCACTAACCTCGCTGAGTTTTACAGGACCTCCAGTTAATGTGGGGGTCCAAACAACGGACTAGATCGCGATCGCCGACCTGGCCGGTGATTCGCCAAGCTTCTCATGTGCTCGCCGAGTTTTATATACTCTAATTTGAAGATGTCTTGAGTGAAACGGCGGATTAGGTCAGGCTCGCCGTCCTCCTCGGCAATGCACAGACTAGACCATTTACTCGCCAACCTGCACTTTTCAAACACTTTCCATACTTTAACCTACACAATCAACACACTATTATTTACCAAAACAAAAATAAAGCAATAAAAGGGTCTTGGGTTGCCTCCCAAGAAGCGCCTTAGTTAACGTCGTGGCACGACGCAACTATTCACTCAAGTTCCATTAGTGAGGTTTTCCTCATTTTCATAAGGCCACCCCTCTTTTGGCTTTGGGTAGAGAGAAGATAGCACTTGGTCCATTTGGGACCTGTAACAACCTGTATTATGCGTATGCTAGTTCTATTCACGTGATACTTGACATAGCCTTATAGTATAGGTGAGGGACCGTGCTTCTTATATGATTAGTGTTGGTTTAAATTAGCTCGCAAGGTGAGGTAACACCTTGCACGTTTCAGCATGTGTACTGCAAGTTAGCTCCAACGGAAGTATTTAAACTAGAGGTAGTAAAGTGGTAATTGGGCCAAATGCACTACCACTTACTTGCATTAATTTGGCCCAAGTTGAGTAGAAGGATAAGGGAAAAATGGACAGCCAAGGCCCAATAGTCTTAAGTCCAAAAGGCCCAAGTGAAAAGTCCAAATAGGTGGACCACCTACTTGCATTAGTTATGGCCCAAATTGACATGAATAGAGGGATAATTCGGATTAGGGCCCAACAAGTGTTGAAGTTCCCAAAAGCCCAAGTTAAAAGGCCAAGTAGGTGGGGCCAAGTAGGTGGGTCACCTACTTGACAATATATGGCCAAAATTAGTCAAGAAATTCGGCCATTACACCTCCTTTTTAAAGGGATAAATATCATATCTTTTACCTCATTTTTAACTTGCAAAATTTTCAGATTTCTTAAGTTTCTCTCTTGGTCTCTCTTGGCTTCAATCAGCAGCCCTAGAAAACCTTGGTTCCTTGAATATTGCCCCATTTTCAAGTAAAAGTTTGAAGGAGAGTTTCAGTTCTTGGAGTACAACTTTAGAGGATAAATTCCTAGAAACTAAGGTAAGACTACTGCCCATTTTTTTCCTCTCTTTAAATACAGATTTGGGGTGGAGAATTTTGTATATATTTATCAAGAACTAATGGATGGTGATAAATCTTTGAGTTAATATGCTCTATTATGCTGAAAGATTTTTAGGGATTGATAGTGGCTGCCTTATGTATATTGTTGTTGGGGGCTGTTTGGGTATCTTGGAAAAGGATGTATGAAGTTGTATTAATGTATAGAAGAAGGGTGTGGTGGTTCACCATTGGTGCAAGGGTTGTATGGGCCTACTTTCCGTCAAGTGTTAGCTACTGTTTTTAGGGCCTTGATTAGTTGCTAACATTAGCTTAATTGTGACTTATGTTGTAGATTAGCATCCAAGAAGGGAGGTTGAATTGTGACAGTGGTATTGGTCAAAAAAATAAGGTATGTAGGGCGATTCGATTCCATATTCCTTGGCATGAAATCTGATACTTGCGATTAATGTCAATAAGTGAATTTCCTAAGTTCTATTCCTAGTAAAGGAAACATAGTGGCAACGTACGATATCCAAATAGCTAACAATATTCCCCCCTCCTAAGTGTACATAATTACTTAGTTACACGTTCAGTACTCTATAGTCAATTGAAGTCATTTGTGTCATTCAAACTCTCAAGTAATGCATTAATGTTACGTAGCTCCTTATATTGTAGCTACTGTCCTAAAGTATTATTTTCATGTCTCCTACTACTGTTCCGTATTTCCAAATCTCAAAAATAATCGTGACCACCAAAACAACAATCTCAAAGATTAAAGAATCTAAGTGAAGCAATTTGTATAACTATGGGTGGCAGCTCAGGGGCGAAAGCCTAGCATGGGCCGATCCTAATGGGTATAGGAGGGTGGCAGCTCAGGGGCAAAAGCCTAGCATGGGCCGATCCCGATTTGTGCAATGTTGAGGACCGCATCCCAGGGGTTAAAATGCCTAGCATGGGTCATCCTCTTCTACCACTGATCAGCTGGTCACTTATATCACATACGTTATAAAGATCATAACACACATAAAGGTAAAGACAAGAATGTAACATACATGACCCCACCAGAGTTAACGGAGGCAGCCTCCTATTCTGATTTATACACTTATACGTTGATACCTGGTTTCGTTTGAACTCTTATTTTATATATGTAGTTGCCTTACATATTCAGTACACTTTTCGTACTGACGTCCCTCGCGGGGGACGCTGCATTTCATGCTGCAGGCACAGGTACTCTCGCTAGTAGACCTCCTCAGTAGGAGAATACGACACTCAGCTACTTTTGGTGAGCTCCAGGTTGCTTCGGAGCTTTACTGAGCCCTTGGTAGACTCATTTTGGTATTGTATCGTATCTAGGGGTAAGGCGGGGTATGTCCCGACCTACTCTAAGGGTTTCTATCTTTTAGAGGCTTTGTAGACTTATGTATATGGTTCAGTTGCATCTTAACAAGTTGTGGCCTCAATGGCCAAGTCTTGTATATAAGTTTTGGAGTCTACTTATGTCGGTTCATATCGTTGTGTCCCTGGCGAACTTGTCACAAAACTTTCATAGTTACATGCATAGTAAGCACAGGTCACATGTGGGTTCTCTCGGGCCTTTAGGGCATCGAGTGCCTGTCCGTCTTAATGGGGTTTGAGGCGTGACAAAGTGGTATCAGAGCAGGTCATCCTAGGGAGTCTACAAAGCCGTGTCTATGTAGAGTCTTGCTTATGGATGTGTTGTGCACCACATTTATAAACAGGAGGCTACGAGACATGTAGGAGTTGTCTCTTTTCTTTCATTTCTTAGATCGTGCGATAGAACCAATGTTGTGGTGAATAGTACCTAACTTCTGAATTGTTTTATTATAGCGAAGATGCCAGTTACGAGAAGGAGTAAAAGTACAGGTAAGCGAGTGGATGTGGCTGCCCAAGAAGGGACCAGCCAACCACCACCTAGTCAAGCTGTTCAAGGTGAGGCTCAAGATGAGTCTCTATCACAGACTTCCCCGACCCCTCCATCGCCAGAAGAACTAAGGAGGGAAGCTGCACCTCAAGAACCCCCTATTAATGCTACTGAGCAAGATTTGAGGAATGCAGTCCAATTGTTGACTCGTATAGTTGTTGGCCACAGCCAAAGGCAAGAAGGTCCAATTGCGGGTATTAGTAGTGTAGATAGAGCGGCTGGCACGCGGATACGTGATTTCCTTAATTTGGACCCTCCATCATTCACCGGGACAGATCCTAATGAAGATCCACAAGACTTTATAGATCAGATCCAACGCACTTTCGATGTTATGCATGTAAGTGGCAAAGAAGCGCTCGAGCTAGCAGCATATAGATTAAAAGGTGTGGCTATATTGTGGTATGAAGCTTGGAAGCAATCCAGGGGAACAAATGCACCTTCAGCTATATGGAAAGAGTTCAAAAAGGCATTCCTTGACCATTACCTGCCATTGGAGATCCGAGAGGCCCGTGCGGATCAGTTCTTAAATCTCCACCAAGGAAGTATGAGCGTGAGAGAGTACAGTCTCAAATTTAATTCCTTGGCCAGGTATGCTCCTAATGTAGTTGCTACTATGGGGGATAGAGTTCATCGATATGTGGATAGATTAGATTCATATCTGGTTAGAGACTGTACCATTGCTTCATTGAATAAAGATATGGATATAGCAAGGATGCAAGCTTTTGCGCAAAAGTTGGAGGATCAAAGGCAAAGAAGAAGGACACAAGAGTCAGAAATAGGGCATTCTAAGAGGGCTAGATCTATGGGGCAGTTTATAGCATCCCAAGGTGAGTTTAGGCCTCGGTTCTTTAACAGACCGCCTAGGCATCATCTTCCTATTCTACAGCTAGTACCCCACCTCAATTTCAAGGGTCTAGGGGCAATCAATTTGGGCAAAGAGGTGAAAGTCAAGGTTCACGAACAGCGGGATACCAAGAGCAGGGAAGTATGAGCCAATCAAGACCTCCTCGAGAGTTTTGTAAACAATGTGGAAGGAATCATTTAGGTGCATGTCGGTTTGGGACAAATGCTTGTTTTTGGTGTGGTACACCAGGTCATATGATGAGAAATTGCCCTCATAGAGGTGTGGGTGGTGTGGCACCACCTACTAGGTCAGTTGTTGCATCCTCGTCATCAGCACCTTCTTTAGGTAGAGGACAGATGCCTACTGGTCGTGGTAGAGGAGCTAGGGGAGCAGCTAGTTCTAGTGGAGTTCAGAATCGCACATATGCTCTCGGGGATCGACAAAATTTGGAAGCCTCGCCGGATGTGGTTACAGGTACATTGTCCATCTTTTCACATATTGTATATGTATTAATTGATCCGGGGTCTACACTATCATATGTTACTCCATTGATTGCTGAAAAGTTCAAAAGAACACCAGAATTATTAGTGAAGCCATTTGAGGTGTCTACACCGATTGGTGACTCTATTATAGCTAGAAGGGTTTATCGTAATTGCATTGTAACCGTTTGTGATCGTGATACGTTGGCTGACCTTGTTGAGCTAGAAATGGTGGATTTTGATGTTATAATGAGTATGGATTGGTTAGCTTCTTGTTATGCCACGGTAGATTGCCGAACGAAGACGCTGCATTTCTATTTTCCAAAAGAGGCCGTTCTTGAATGGAAAGGTAATATTGGGACATCAAGAGGTAAATTTATTTCCTATTTTAAGGCAAAGAAGATGATGTCCAAAGGATACATATGTCATTTAGTGAGAGTGAGAAATATAGATGCGGAGCCACCAACTCTTCAATCCATTCCAGTGGTAAATGAATTTCCCGATGTATTTCCTGAAGATCTTCCGGGTTTGCCTCCAGAACGAGAAATAGAGTTTGGTATTGATGTGATTCTAGATACTCAACCTATATCCATCCCTCCATATAGAATGGCCCCGGCAGAATTACGGGAGTTGAAGGAGCAATTAAAAGACTTATTAGAAAAAGGATTCATAAGGCCTAGTATGTCCCCAGTTTTATTTGTACGCAAGAAAGATGGCTCGTTAAGAATGTGTATCGATTACCGGCAGTTGAATAAGGTAACGATTAAGAACAAATATCCCCTCTCTAGAATTGATGATTTGTTTGATCAGTTACAAGGTGCTAGGTGTTTTTCAAAAATTGACCTGAGGTCGGGTTATCACCAAGTGAGGGTCAAAGACGAGGATATACCCAAGACAGCTTTCCGAACACGATATGGTCATTTTGAGTTTGTAGTCATGTCATTCGGGCTAACGAATGCACCAGCAATTTTTATGGATTTGATGAATAGGGTGTTCAAGCCATTTTTAGATGTGTTCGTGATAGTATTCATAGATGACATTTTGGTGTATTCAAGATCGGAAGAGGAGCATGCTAATCACCTACGACAGGTGTTACAAATTCTTCGTGATCGTAAGTTGTATGCAAAGTTCTCTAAATGTGAGTTCTGGTTAAAATCAGTGGCATTCCTAGGTCATGTTGTATCCGATGAAGGAATAAGGGTTGATAATCAGAAGATAGAAGCGGTGAAAAACTGGCCAAGACCTACAACGCCTACGGAGATCCGTAGTTTCCTTGGATTGGCAGGTTATTACAGAAGGTTCGTTGAAGGATTTTCTTCCATTGCTGCACCCTTAACAAAGCTAACACACAAAGAAACCAAGTTTCAGTGGAGTGATGAATGTGAAAGAAGCTTCCAAGAGCTGAGGAATAAACTAACTTCTACACCGGTATTGGTACTTCCAGAAGGAACAGAAGGGTATGCAGTCTATTGTGATGCTTCGGGGGTGGGCCTAGGATGTGTTTTGATGCAGCATGGTAAGGTAATAGCTTACGGCTCAAGGCAGCTGCGGCCACATGAGAAAAATTATCCAACTCATGATCTAGAACTAGCAGCAGTTGTATTTGCTTTGAAGATATGGCGCCACTACTTGTATGGAGTTCATGTTGACATATACACTGATCACAAGAGTTTGCAATATATCTTTAAGCAAAAGGACCTAAATCTGAGGCAGCGAAGATGGCCGGAGCTATTAAAAGATTATGACATTGATATCTTGTATCATCCCGGGAAAGCAAATATAGTAGCTGATGCGTTAAGTCGTAAAATAATGGCAAGCACCTATGAGCGGTCTGTGGAAAGACAAGGAATAACTAAGGATCTATGTCAACTAGCTAGCTTGGGGGTTCGGCTTCTTGAATCGCCTGACAAAGGGGTTATTGTGCAAAATGCGGCAGAATCCTCATTAGTAGTAGAAGTGAAAGAGAAGCAGTACATGGATCCTATTCTATTAAAGCTTAAGGAGAATGTACAACAGGGTATGACAAAGGCATTTGAGCTTACGCAAGAGGGAGTACTTCGATGTCAAAACAGATTGTGTGTACCTAATGTAGCTGAATTAAGAAAGAGGATTATGATGGAAGCGCATCATTCGAGATATTCTGTCCATCCGGGGTCAACTAAAATGTATCATGACTTAAAAGAAATGTATTGGTGGGGGGACATGAAGAAGAACATTGCGGAATTCGTGGCTCAATGTCCAAATTGTCAACAAGTGAAAGTAGAGCACCAAAAGCCTGGAGGTTATATGCAGTGTATAGAACTTCCAATTTGGAAGTGGGATATGATCAATATGGATTTTGTCACTGGTTTGCCTCGTTCATTTCGGAAGTTTGATTCTATATGGGTAATTGTTGATAGACTGACCAAATCAGCGCACTTCTTGCCGGTCAAGACTACTTATACAGTTGAGGAATATGCGAGGTTGTATATTAAAGAGATAGTTCGTCTACATGGAGTGCCAATCTCTATTATATCTGATAGGGGAGCTCAATTCACTGCAAATTTTTGGAAGTCATTTCAGAAGAGTTTAGGAACACAAGTGAATTTAAGTACAGCCTTTCACCCTCAAACAGATGGTCAGGCGGAGCGTACAATCCAAACACTCGAGGATATGCTGCGAGCTTGTACATTGGGACTTCAAAGGTAGTTGGGATGATCATTTGCCATTGATCGAGTTTGCATACAACAATAGCTACCATTCAGTATTAAAATGGCACCTTATGAAGCTTTATATGGAAGAAAATGTAGATCCCCAATTGGCTGGTTCGAAAAAGGTGAAACTGCCTTATTTGGGCCAGATCTTGTTCATCAAGCTATGGAAAAAGTCAAAGTGATACGGCAGCGGCTAGAAACAGCTCAAAGTCGACATAAATCATATGCGGATGTTAGAAGGAGAGGACTAGAATTTTCTATAGGGGATTGGGTGTTCTTGAAGGTGTCACCAATGAAAGGGGTAATGAGGTTTGGTAAAAAAGGAAAATTGAGTCCACGCTATATAGGGCCATATAAGATTATTCGAAGAGTTGGCCAAGTAGCCTATGAGTTAGAGCTACCACAAGAGCTTTCATCAGTTCATCCGGTGTTTCATGTCTCGATGCTTCGGAAATGCATAGGTGACCCATCTCATATTACTCCTACTGAAGATGTACAGGTTACGGGAGATCTCACTTATGAGGAAGTACCCATTGCTATTCTGGATCGACAAGTTAGGAAGTTACGAAATAAAGAAGTAGTTTCTGTAAAAGTATTATGGAGGAACCAACAAGTAGAAGAAGTTACATGGGAAGCGAAAGAAGCAATGAAATTGAAGTATCCTCATCTCTTTCAGATCCATGAGAAGGATGAAAATGCTTAGTCTAGCCGCTGACAAGTAAGTATAAGTCTATTTGTATTATGTGATTAATAGTAGCACTAATTTAGGCTTGAACTTGTTTGGGCTGGATAACCAGCTAACATTCGAGGACGAATGTTTTTAAGGGGGAAAGAATGTAACAACCTGTATTATGCGTATGCTAGTTCTATTCACGTGATACTTGACATAGCCTTATAGTATAGGTGAGGGACCGTGCTTCTTATATGATTAGTGTTGGTTTAAATTAGCTCGCAAGGTGAGGTAACACCTTGCACGTTTCAGCATGTGTACTGCAAGTTAGCTCCAACGGAAGTATTTAAACTAGAGGTAGTAAAGTGGTAATTGGGCCAAATGCACTACCACTTACTTGCATTAATTTGGCCCAAGTTGAGTAGAAGGATAAGGGAAAAATGGACAGCCAAGGCCCAATAGTCTTAAGTCCATAAAGGCCCAAGTGAAAAGTCCAAATAGGTGGACCACCTACTTGCATTAGTTATGGCCCAAATTGACATGAATAGAGGGATAATTCGGATTAGGGCCCAACAAGTGTTGAAGTTCCCAAAAGCCCAAGTTAAAAGGCCAAGTAGGTGGGGCCACGTAGGTGGGTCACCTACTTGACAATATATGGCCAAAATTAGTCAAGAAATTCGGCCATTACACCTCCTTTTTAAAGGGATAAATATCATATCTTTTACCTCATTTTTAACTTGCAAAATTTTCAGATTTCTTAAGTTTCTCTCTTGGTCTCTCTTGGCTTCAATCAGCAGCCCTAGAAAACCTTGGTTCCTTGAATATTGCCCCATTTTCAAGTAAAAGTTTGAAGGAGAGTTTCAGTTCTTGGAGTACAACTTTAGAGGATAAATTCCTAGAAACTAAGGTAAGACTACTGCCCATTTTTTTCCTCTCTTTAAATACAGATTTGGGGTGGAGAATTTTGTATATATTTATCAAGAACTAATGGATGGTGATAAATCTTTGAGTTAATATGCTCCTATTATGCTGAAAGATTTTTAGGGATTGATAGTGGCTGCCTTATGTATATTGTTGTTGGGGGCTGTTTGGGTATCTTGGAAAAGGATGTATGAAGTTGTATTAATGTATAGAAGAAGGGTGTGGTGGTTCACCATTGGTGCAAGGGTTGTATGGGCCTACTTTCCGTCAAGTGTTAGCTACTGTTTTTAGGGCCTTGATTAGTTGCTAACATTAGCTTAATTGTGACTTATGTTGTAGATTAGCATCCAAGAAGGGAGGTTGAATTGTGACAGTGGTATTGGTCAAAAAAATAAGGTATGTAGGGCGATTCGATTCCATATTCCTTGGCATGAAATCTGATACTTGCGATTAATGTCAATAAGTGAATTTCCTAAGTTCTATTCCTAGTAAAGGAAACATAGTGGCAACGTACGATATCCAAATAGCTAACAATATTCCCCCCTCCTAAGTGTACATAATTACTTAGTTACACGTTCAGTACTCTATAGTCAATTGAAGTCATTTGTGTCATTCAAACTCTCAAGTAATGCATTAATGTTACGTAGCTCCTTATATTGTAGCTACTGTCCTAAAGTATTATTTTCATGTCTCCTACTACTGTTCCGTATTTCCAAATCTCAAAAATAATCGTGACCACCAAAACAACAATCTCAAAGATTAAAGAATCTAAGTGAAGCAATTTGTATAACTATGGGTGGCAGCTCAGGGGCGAAAGCCTAGCATGGGCCGATCCTAATGGGTATAGGAGGGTGGCAGCTCAGGGGCAAAAGCCTAGCATGGGCCGATCCCGATTTGTGCAATGTTGAGGACTGCATCCCAGGGGTTAAAATGCCTAGCATGGGTCATCCTCTTCTACCACTGATCAGCTGGTCACTTATATCACATACGTTATAAAGATCATAACACACATAAAGGTAAAGACAAGAATGTAACATACATGACCCCACCAGAGTTAACGGAGGCAGCCTCCTATTCTGATTTATACACTTATACATTGATACCTGGTTTCGTTTGAACTCTTATTTTATATATGTAGTTGCCTTACATATTCAGTACACTTTTCGTACTGACGTCCCTCGCGGGGGACGCTGCATTTCATGCTGCAGGCAGAGGTACTCTCGCTAGTAGACCTCCTCAGTAGGAGAATACGACACTCAGCTACTTTTGGTGAGCTCCAGGTTGCTTCGGAGCTTTACTGAGCCCTTGGTAGACTCATTTTGGTATTGTATCGTATCTAGGGGTAAGGCGGGGTATGTCCCGACCTACTCTAAGGGTTTCTATCTTTTAGAGGCTTTGTAGACTTATGTATATGGTTCAGTTGCATCTTAACAAGTTGTGGCCTCAATGGCCAAGTCTTGTATATAAGTTTTGGAGTCTACTTATGTCGGTTCATATCGTTGTGTCCCTGGCGAACTTGTCACAAAACTTTCATAGTTACATGCATAGTAAGCACAGGTCACATGTGGGTTCTCTCGGGCCTTTAGGGCATCGAGTGCATGTCCGTCTTAATGGGGTTTGAGGCGTGACAGGACCTTTGTCATCATTCACACTCATTCTTCTTGTTTCAACACACAAACAAACAAAACTAAACTAAAAATAATATTAGTAAAACTACAACTATTAAAAATAGAAATTCTACTTAACTAAGAATTCCCAAATAACACCACTCCCCGGCAGCGGCCCCATTTTGATGCTTATCGTGACCAACGACACTAACCAATGGTATGAGTGTCTTCGATCGTCGATAGTATAGTAACCCAACTAAAGGTTGGGGTCGTGTCCCAAGGGAGCGGTTTTTAGAATTCATAGAAAAATAAAATTACATTTTAACTAGTCGTAGCTAAAGATATTAACGAACAAAAACATAGTAAATGAAAGGGGGTGACACAAAAGTGTCAAATATCAAATGGAGGTTTTGTAACAAGTAATAAAACAAGAAAATCAAGTATGGGGAAAGGTTCTTGGGATGTGACCGCAATACAAGTTGGGATAAATCGTTGGGTACATGCTTTCAATAGGAAATTTGCTAGACAATAGTGACTAGGCTAAGCTTTAAATGGAAATAAGTTCCCTCGCGGGCAACTTACCCCGTTTCAAATACGTTCCTCTCGGACACCCATTTGTCGTATGAAGACCAGCCTACGCCTTACCCCACTCACTCTCTCAAGCTAAGTGTTAGGATATGGGACTAGGGCTCATCCTCTCGGGCTGAACCTCATGTCGACCCACTTCTTAGGCCATCAGTCTAGTGGTTTCGGTTTCTTGACCTCCCTCTCGGGCAAGCCGAAAACACATGGGTGGCTTTGTATTTGCAGCAACAAATCCTTTAGATTAAACCACAACCACTAGGTTAAAACACCATTAACATACATCTAACCTATCAGCAAGCAAGACCCAACAAGAATATCAACTCATATTAGTTAAATCACACCCCAAGAATAGGGGTTTTTTAGGCACACATCAAGAAATAAGAAATTATACCTAACATGATAAAGAAATCAACTGGGTATAAGAAATTAAACCTTGAATTAAGCTATGGAAGAAGAATAAAGATGACCCACTTCCAACTTGGGGAAGATGAACTCCTTTCTTCAAAACTCCACAAAACCCTCTCCAAACATGAGAGAGAAATACAGAAAAATACTCACTAATAATAATCTTTACTCTAAAATGTTCCACACTAAGACTACAACTCTAACTAGTAGTTATAGTTTTCACAGATTGTGCTACGGAGGATCTTTCGGTGACATTAGTCGAGATCACCGATGAACTCGGCGATCTCTCCCTTTAATCAGCTCATCACCTTCAGTGTCTTGCCTTCAGCATCCTCATATTCTGGACCATTGGGTGGTTTAGTACTGCTTCGCGAAACTATTCGGCGACCCGCTGACTACTCATATCCTCACCTTTTGTTCCGCTTCCTTCAAGGCTTCGCGTACTGGAACAAAGGGTGGTGCATGTCAATTCGACGACTCGCCAAGTTGGATTCGGCGATCCACAAACTTTCATTTCTTGTTCTTTTCAGCCCTTTTTGCTCCGTTTTGCCCCTAAGTGTCCATGCTTCTAGTAAAAATTCAAATACCTGAAACTTAAGCATTTTAATCAGGTATTGAGATAAAACAAGCATTCGAGGACATTATCCAATGAAAATAAATCCCTAAATGAGTCCAATTTGTGGACTCATCAGTCCCTAATGTTCATGTTTGGGTTTACTTGAAAATCTCACCCATGAAGGGTGTAATGAGGTTTGGGAAGTAAGGGAAGCTTAGTCTCCACTTTGTAGGCCCATATGAGATTTTAAG